TGGAAGCAGCTTTCCAGTCAGCTGTGTGCTCCAGGTGCTCTTATTGGTTGCAACGTTGAAGGAAGATGCATCACTACAGCAGGAGAAAGGAGGCTTGAAGAAGAGAAAGCAGCTGTTAAACTAAAAAAACTTTAAAGTGTAGAAAATTTACATGATTAAAATCCTTGAGTATGAGAAAGGTTTGAGGCATAAGGATGGTTTTAATCAATTTCAATGAGTTGGATTTGTAGGAAGAATTGAATACTGCATGAATATTGAAAATGATTTAATACAGGGAAAATGATTTAAAACAGAAAATTTAAATGGTTAAAAATCTTAAAGTGTAAGGTTTGAATCAGTTTTAATGATGTTTAATTTGTTTGAAGAATTGAACAATGCATTATCAATGAGTGGTTTTAAAATATGAAAAATTTAAATGAATAAAAATCCTGAATACACCCCATCATGTCCTCAATGAGCTGAATTTTTGAAGCCCTGAATGGTTTCTGTAGGTCAAAGTTTGTGGGAGGAGATAGGGGCCGAAGTTTGTCAAGCGCTCTAGTAAAGGGTTTTAAATGTCACCCCCAGTGCTATGTGTACTGAGCCTGGCTTCATGTGTCTCATATGGCTGTTAGAAGCAGCTTTCCAGTCAGCTGTGTGTCTCCAGGTGCACAAATTGGTTGCCATGGGGACTTTAGATGCATCACTACAGCAGGAGAAAGAAGGCTTGAAGCTGAGAAACAAAATCCAAAACTATGCCCTGATGCTCATTCTTTGTAACGGCTACATTCATGACAAGAAACTTGTGAGAACCCCACGACTCTGCTGAACATATTGATACAATTAATTAACAAAATTTTAAAAACACCCCATAATGTCCTCAATGAGCTGAATTTTTGGAGCCCTGAATGGTTTCTGTAGCTCAAAGTTTGTGGGAAAAGATAGGGGCCGAAGTTTGTCAAGCGCTCTAGTGAAGGGTTTTAAATGTAACCCCCAGTGCTCTGTGTACTGAGCCTGGTTTCATGTGTCTCATATGGCTGTTAGAAGCAGCTTTCCAGTCAGCTGTGTGTCTCCAGGTGCACTTATTGGTTGCCATGGCGAAGGAAGATGCATCACTACAGCAGGAGAGAGGAGGCTTGAAGCTGAGGAAATAGCTCTCCAGCTAGGCCCTGATGGTCAACCTCTGTATATATTCATGACAAGAAACTTGTGAGAACCACAAGACTCTGCTGAACACATTAATACAATTTATTATTGTGTATATTGTAGAAAGCTTTATTTTTTCTTCTCCCTTTTCTAATTTTTTTTTTTTAATTATTACATTTATTTAAGTTCTTAATATTAGGATCCTTATTTTTATAACTGCATTTTTGCACTCTGTCTTGTCTGTGATGCTGCTGTGGCAAAAAAATTTCCCCCATGGGGGATCAATAAAGGAATATTCTATTCTATTCTATTCTATTCTATTCTATTCTATTATCACAATCCTCAAAACACCCCATAATGTCCTCAATAAGCTGAATTTTTGAAGCCCAGAATGGTTTCTGTAGCTCAAAGTTTGTGGGTGGAGATAGGTGGTGAAGCAGACACATATTAACTGTGTGTACATGCAGGTCTTATAGGCAGACACACACACACACACACACACACACACACACACACACACACACACACACACACACACACACACACACACACACACACATTGTCAGACTGTGTGTGTGTGTGTCTCGTTAATGATTGCATCCTTTACAGCTGTGAGATCAAAGGCATTAACTGACCTACTGTTTGAATGAGAAGTTGCCTAACTGCAGTGAATTTAGGGCCTCTGAACTTCATTACATAGCGTGATTTCCTTAAATCCCAGAATGAAAATAAGAACATCGTATGAATCCTCTGCCCTTCATGAACACAATGATGTGGCCACATTTTTTAGAGTACAGACATGAAAAACACAACAGCGAGTTAAAAAGGTCTGAGCCTGAGTGATAATCAGGATTTTCTTGGAGAAAAATTACGTTAGGGCCAATGCGAGGGTTCTTTGCCATTTTTGGACAGTTGGTCACCTGCTGGCCAAGGGGTACGATTTAATTGATTTGAAACCTCTTTTGTGAGAAGCAGGACATATATACCTCTATTTTGATGTATTTTTTATGGCTGTGGAGTGAAATTTGTGGGCGTGGGAGCGATATATTCGAGCTAGGTTTTGTCGATCCAAGAGGAGCTCTGCACTCTAGCTATAAAAAAACACACTCTAGCCTCTCCAATACACACCCATTATAAAGCCTGAAATTTGCTGAAAACCATGAGTTGCTTAAAGCTAAATTGTGGGAAAACTGTAAAAGATATCAAAAAATTGAATACAACATTAATAGTCGACATGTAAATGAAAATTTAAAGCAAAAATGAGGTCTGTAGGTGAAAGTATGCTGAAGTTTTACGGCTGAGAAGGTGGAAGTGTAGAAGGTAGAATTTGAAGATTTATCCATTCATTTCAATGGGAAAAATTTTGCACAAAAAGTAAAAAAATATCAAAAAGTATAAAGGGTAGAAAAGCAAACAATACATCCACACTTGTCCTGAAGGAGAGGAATAGTTTAAAAGTTGAATGGTTGAAATAGCACAAAGTATGAAGGAGTTGAAAAGTTGCAAAAAAGGTACGGAATAATAATAATTATTATAATAATAATAAAGAAATAGGCGAATAACAATAAGGAAAAGGAGAATAACAATAAGTGGAAATGTTTAATCAGCATTTCCACTTAATAAAGAACAGAATAACAATAAGTGGAACTGCTTAATCAGCATTTCCAACTAATAATAAAGATACGCATAACATATAGTGGGAATGCTTCGCAATTCCACTCAATAATAAAGATATGAATAACATATAGTGGGAACGCTTTGCAATCCCACTCAATTAGATTTTTTTTTCTCCCTCCATTCATTATTGGTTCTGATTTGCAAGGGGGGCAGGACTCGATTAAGTTTTTGCTTTGCACTTTTGACTCCTCCCGTCTCCTTTGTGTGAAGCCATTCGATGAAAACAAAAAGGCTCTTTGTTTTACGCAAAAAAAAAAAAAGAGTAACAAGGCATCATTGGATCTGATCTTTGAAAGCAGCACCATTTCTATTAGAATAAAGCAGAACAAATGTGACAAGGAGTCTTTCATAACTATCAGACATAAGTGAAGAGAGAAAGAACATGAAGGTGAAGGCAGTTAGTGAGAGAAAAGAGAGCATCTGCAGTAAGGAGACCTCACCCCATCACTCCCACTTCTCGCCCCTCTTCTCTGCCTTTTCCAAATCTTTGACGCTGTAGGCGCTTTGTTGACAAAGTCACATAAACATCCTTTGAACGGAAGCATGTTCATCTAAAAGAGAGGAGATGGATGTGTGGTTCTAATCAGAATCTGTCATCCTCAAAAACATGCATGTCAAAGCTCTTCAGTCTCTGCTGGCTCAGTGCAAACACTAGTCACTTTATCCCCATTAAATACCCCTGCAAAAGTGAAACCATACCCATGTATAAACTATACACTACAGTATAAGTCCTTTGTCTTCTCACTTTTGGCTGTGGATAATCAGGCTTTTCTGTCCCTATTGTTTTTACTTTGGGAAGGTCCTTTTCCGCAAATTTTACTCCTGAAAATTTCCTGACTTATCTCTGATCAGTTTGTTATAAGTCCGTCCATCCATCCATCCATCCATCCTCACTTATCATAAGTTGGGTCACAGCAGCCTCAGCAAGAAAACCCAGGCTTCCCTCTTCGCAGTCACTCTGTCTAGCTCTTCCCAGGGGGACCTTGAGGCATTTCCAGGCCAGCTGAGAGACAGTAGCCATGTTAACATGTGCAAAATTTCTTGATCTGATTAAAAATCTGAGGGATTGGATAATCTGAATCCACTGTTTATATGGGTGCAAAATCAAATAATCTGATCATGTCATGCCTATACAGAGTAGAAGCATTTAGACATGCGCAGTAATTTCACTATAACAGCAGGAGAAGAGTTGTAGTGACACCTGTGCTATCAACAAACCAACAAACGTAGTAGTGGCTCACTCTTTCCAAGAGTTTTCCCCCTGTTAAATGTTGTCACTAGATAGCGCCCTTGCTTACTTATTTTACTGCTCTGTCAAAGGTAGCATTGTGCATGCCGATGTTACATCACTACGCTGTAAGTACGCCTTGTTATGTTTCAGAGATGCCCTTCTGCCTACCTTGGTTGTAACGGGTGGTTATTTGAGTCACTGTTGCCTTTCTATCAGCTCGAACCAGTCTGGCCATTCTCCTCTGACCTCTGGCATCAAGCCAAGGCTGAAGAGTGAAGACCAAGTCAGGTAAGATAGTCACCATCGGAATAAGTGTTTACATGGATGCGTCTCAGAATAATGATCGGCATAAACCACCCCTCTAGATCGGAACACAATTTATTTCCGATTGAGCCGAATTGGATCAGAATCTTCTGATCGACATGTTCACATGACGCTTTTTTATTCTGATCGGGCCTTTGTTCCAATTATTTGTGCCCATGTAAATGCAGCTATAGTCTCTGCAGCATGTTCAGTGTTTCATGTGAAATACTTGTAACTTTGTTTTGAAAATGTCATATGAATGAAGCGATTATTTGTGTTCACGGCCAGAAGAAATATATAAAGGTGCTCTATCATGCATATTTACAGCATCCATGAAGGACATACACTCATCAGTATTGACAGAGAGTTGAGTGTGAAGGCTTCATCAGTTTAGATAAAGTAGATTTAAGTAGGTGAAAGGAAAAGTATCAAAGTTTGGTCTGGATTAAGGACCTCTCTTTTATTAGAGAAAGACTATTGTCGAGGCAAACCTCAAAACCCAGATTTGTACTCCCAAGATGGCCACCCATGGACATTCAAGATGGCCACCCCTTGGTACACCTAAAATGGCCGCCCTGTACACCAAAGATGGCCGACCTTTGGGTGTTGGCTGATTAGGAACACCTGAAAAGCTGTGTGAGTTGTGGCAGAGAACAAAAGAGCAAACAACTTCAAGCGGAAGCAGCTCCACAAAAAGGACAAAGAATCAAGTTCTACTCAACTATACAAGTTCCATGACGCTAATGGTCGGTAGTATTTTCACTTACCTTGTGTGTTTGAAGTGTGTTAGAGATGCTGCTTGTTAAGTGCTACTGTTAAAATGTATTGTGGGAAAAGGCAGTATTGCATTGCAGCAACATTTGCTTTAAGCTTAAGTACTTATTTGTTGGTAGAACTTTATTTGAAAAGGCCCTAATTTATCTTGCTTATTTGCTTAAAAAGAAGGTCCAAGTTAAAAGTTTAAAATTGACTTACCTTGGAATTTACTTACCTTTTACAATTTAAAAGTTTAGTTTAATCTAAAGACAATTTAAAATGCTTAAACATATCATTTAAAGTTTAAACTCAATGTACAAAAGTTACGAAAATAATTGAATGTTTAACTTGATAAGCTGCCTTAAAACCCTTAGTTTAAAAATATTAATTGGTTAAAACATTGGTTAACTAACTAAAAATGTTTTAATATGTTTAAATTAATGGCAACATTTAAAAATTTAATTATTGAATTATTAAAAGTGATTTATTCTTTGATATGGCATGTTGCTAATTGTTGTTTCTGTCTTGAAGGTTTACAACCTGATGAAAAAGAACAACCAATCAACATCAAAGAGCCAAATGAAAAGTGGAAAATAAAGAAGTTGATTGAGTTGGAAATCGAGTTGTCATGGGTCATTTGGAACTTAAAACTGTGGGGACTTGACAACTAGCGGCTTTTTAAAGAGACAGAGAACACTCCTCAGCATGGTTAGCAACATTCTGTCCTGCTGTTGAATAAGGAATAATTCATACTGTTCACCACATGAGATACAATTAAAGTTGAGTAATTCATGTATGTGGAGCATGGTTTATTTAGCTGTAATTTAAGTAAATCAATTAGTTTCTCATCTGTTTGTTTTCCTGACACAGCATGAGCTTGAAGGCTGTGTGCTGGAGACTTTCTTCATCGCAGGAAATCAATGAATCTGGCAAATCAAGCAAGACTAAAATCTTCAGGGTTATCACTTTAAAAGGTCCCATGTGTAGACATGGGAATCATGGCACATCTGGCAATCTGAAACTCCTTTGCTCACCTCTCCTACCTGTGGGTGAAGCTATGGTGGCCTTTGATCATCACTATGATGGCCTTCATCACAATCCTGTGATGCATAATAACGTCATTATTAAAAATGTCATTGTGAGCACAACAACCACTAATTTTTTCTTCCTCTTCTTTCTTGTACTTGTGAATAACATGTTCCATTTATACCAAGTCTCTTCTGATAAATGCAACAATTTATTGGGGAAAAAAAGATATTGCTTTTTCTTTGTCTTTCTGCAATTTGCAATATGAAAAAAATCTGGAATTTTATTGACAGGTGAAATGCCATATTTATGTGCTAAAAAAAACAAACAAACAACAAACATCTCAATCAAAGGTTAAGATGTTATACTTAAGGTTATATGTTTTGTCATTTGGGTCTTTAAGCCTGTTTTCTGCTTTCAAATCAAATCCCCTCATACTTGAACTACACTGAGTTCAATGTCTCTGTCTATGTAGCATTACTTGAGATTGTAATGAAGGTGGCCAGTGGAATAACCTGTGGAGTATCAGCTGCCCTATCAGTTGTGACAAACTTATTAAACTTTGCACAACACATGCTTCTTGACTTCATTAAAGGTCTAGGAAGAAGCTGCATGTAGTCAGTTGGTCCAGGTGCAGTTGCAAATAAATGATAAATAATAATACATTCATTCAAATTCATTCAAAAAAGCACATTTACTTATGTAACTAATGTGATGTTTAAATGCAGCGGTTCATTGATAAACAATACTGTTATGGCAGAATAATGTTAAATGACATAGCTCTTTATCACAAATATGGTGTGGATATGGTAGATTATATTTCCTCTTACCCATATGTAATCAGGCAGTTGCTTTATTGTTTATACTGCAAAACAGCAACATACAAACCATTCACTGGAGTCGTCTATAGCTGCCTTTATGTGTGGCACAAATATATCCTTCTCCTTTTAATGGAGTGTTACCTTAGCTATCAGTGATAGTCACAGCTTTGTGTACACTTTTAACCCTTGTGCACCCCTTAGGACCGTTTTGGTCCTTCACAACTATACTTTTGTGGATAATTTTGGCTGCGATGATGTAAATGGCATACAAATTTGTCTAAGTGTGTAATTTTAGGTGCAATTTATTTTTTTTCTTTTTCTTCCTTTGACCTTTTTGCATGTGAGCAATTTTTATTACTACAGTAGACACCCCATTGACTCCCATTAAAACACGTTTTCTTCAATACACTGCCAATGCAGTATAATTTTTGGATTTTTTTTTTACTCATGTAAGCCTATTCCTTGAGAGTCAATTTTTTTTTTTTTTTTATGCCAACACGCAGATGGCACCATTTTTTCTTTTTTTCCTGCCATACCCTTTAGAACAAGAGGGGCACTGTTTTCCCTTTTTTCACAGAGCTGGTGTACTTCATGAATATCTTCAATAAAAACTGTTTAGGTGTGTTTTAGGGATATCATGGATTATGTGCGATTGTTTTCATGAATTACTTGTGTGTGTGTGTGCGCATATGCAGCCGTGAGAATAGCCAAAATCCATCCAGAAACAGCGGCAGTTGTATAATCTGCACCTGCGGTTTCCTTCTGTGTGTGTGTGTGTGTATGTGTGTTTGTTTGTGTGTGTGTCTGATTGTGCGTGCGTGCGCGTGTGTGTGAGATTGTGCGTGCATGCATGCGTGCGAGGTTCATAGCGGGCTTCATTGATGTGCGTGCGTAAAAGCAAGGGATGAATGGATGGATGGTGTTTGTGTGTGTGTGTGACGGCGGCGTGGGAATAGAAGGATCTCGAATTGTAAACAAAAACACTTGAGTACACTTCTTTCAGATAATGTAAACAATATGAATTCTGTGGCTTTTGACATCAAAGGTGTGCAGAGATGCCAATTTACACGGTGCGCTTTTCAAGTTTATGTTTAAAAGTTCGTCATTGATTTGGTCTCAGTTTGCCGAGATCCTCGAGATGGCATGTCGTGCAACTTCAAGAAATATGGATGTTAGCGAAGCCTTGGAGCTTTTTCTCAATGACGAGGAGACAGACACTGCATCTTCGGTGAGTGATTCTTCATCCTCAGCTGGGGATGAAATGGAGGACGCTTTTGATCCTGAAAACCAGGAGAATTCGGACGAATATGAGGGTGATGATGAGGAGATGGAGGTGGAGGGCGGGGTGCCCGAGGCAGGTATGATCCCAAAAAACAGACTGACATGGTCCCGTACCACCGAGGAGACGCTGCGTTATCATCCTCCTGCCATCCCACATCCTGGGATTACCAGACACGCCGCAGCCCGCATAACAGCTTTGGATGACAGCTTATGGTTTTTTTTGACTGAAGAAATCATGGAAATACTTGTGCTTGAGACCAACCGGGAGGGCCGGCGAAATGATAACAGTTGGAGGATTACGGACGTAACGGAAATTCGGACATACAATGGGCTTCTCTTCCTTGCCGGACTGCACCGTGCACGTCATGAGGCGACTGTCAGCTTGTGGGGAGAGGACAACAGGCGTCCCATCTTCCGCGCAACCATGTCGCGCAAAAGATTTGATGAGCTGTGCATAAATCTCAGATTTGGTAATCGGGAGACCCGGCGTCCACATGACAAGTTCGCACCCATCAGCAACCTCTGGAAGCGCTGGGTGGACCGCCTGCACATGGGGCACAACCTCGGTGAGAACATCTGCATTGATGAGAAGTTGGTCCGCTTCCACGGCCGCTGCTCATTCAAGCAGTATATGCCGCAAAAGCCTGCAAGATATGGGGTCCGTTTCACATAGCAGGTTTAATGGAAACTCAGAGTCTGTTAACCCTGAAATCAGGGAAACTCTGAGTTTTCCGTTTCACAAAGGAGGGTCAGTTAAACCAGAGAGAGAGGGGTGACTCTAACCTGTTTCACAAAGAGAGGTAACTCAACCTCGCGGTCAGTTAACGTAGTAACAGACTCCGTGAACCTAACCTGCTCGGGAGCAGGTTTAACTCAGTAAACCCAGAGTTTCAGGTGAGACATCGACATTTTCTCATTTTGATCATGTTTTACATTGTCAAGTAAGTATTAAGTGGCAGTTTGATCCCTTACAAAATGCTCTTTTCACACTCAAAAATGAATTTTACTCTCTTATGATGTTCCGTTAAATGATTATGTTGCACAATGTTTTTATATTTAATTTTAAGCTGCTGCCAAGTGCGCTTTTGTCCCGCTGGATTGCACCTACATAAAATAAATTAATTTTCTCCATGCAAGCAGTTTCCCCTGCAAAAGTCTGTCAATGTGATTGCACAAGACTAGATTTAAAGTTACGCATTGACGCGAGCAGCAGTTTCCTCCCATGCCCTCTCCCTCTCACTTGCGGCTGCTGCTGTATTGCACTTTCTTTTAAAAACGTGCTGTAATTCGCCGTTGGCTTGCTGCTGCCCCCTCCTTCTCCCTGTTTCCATTGGTTGATCAATGAATCTGGGCTCCACAGATGCTGGCTGTTTATGTCTGGTGTGCACGTGCTTAACTCCAGGTGAAACTACTCGGAGTTGCTAAAACTGACTCAAATCAGGCGTTGTGAAACCGGAAACTCAGAGTTTCCTATCTCAGAGTAGATCAACTCAGAGTTAAGGATTTGACTTGGAGTTTGTTGAACCACCTACGTGAAACGGACCCATGGTCTGAAGCTGTGGTTGCTTTGCGATGTCAACACCTCGTATGCCTGGAAGATGATTCCCTACCTGGGAAAAGAGGCCGGCGCTGCTCCCCAGAGGCAGGTGGGGAAGGAGGTGGTTCTGGAGCCCACTGAGGGGCTGTCCGGACACACCATCACAGTGGACAATTTTTTCACGTCCTACGACCTGGCCATGGTCAGGACTATTCAGAGAAACAAACCCGAGGTACCAAGCCAACTGACCAACACCAGGGGACGAGAGCCGGATTCATCCCTTTTTGGCTTCCAACCAACTGCAACATTAGTCAGTTTCGTGCCTAAACGAAACCGAAATGTGCTCCTGCTCAGCACCAGACACAGGGACGGAAAGGGGGCGGCGGACCCCCCCCCCAAACCCGAGATGATCAAATACTATAAGAGCTGCAAGGGGGGAGTGGATGCTTTGGATCAGGTAAATAATTTATTCTTTTTACAGACTATGTTTTTGTGATGCATGCCATATGTTTTGTGCTTCTTTTTCTGTGATTTTTTTATGTCTTTATTCATTATATTGTTTCTCTTGCAGCGTGTGAACACATACGGTGTTGGGAAAAAGACGAAGCGATGGCCTCTGGCACTCTTCTTCAACATCTTGAATGTGAGTGCTCTCAACGCCTTCATCCTTTGGAGGCAGGTGGATCCAGGCTGGAACCGTGGGAAGCGGGCCATCAGGCAGCTCTTCCTTCAAGACCTGGGGAGTTTATTGGTGCAGCCGCTCATCGGACGACGTCTCCGCGTTCCCCGCAGCCCTGCCGCTGCAGCCATAGTGGAGAGGGCTCGGGGGGCACGAGAATCGGGCCCTGCTCCGCCAGCTGATCCTGAAGCTCCTGCATCCTGGCGGGGGATCTGCCATCTCTGCACTCCTCTGAAATCAAAGGCCAGACGATCTTGCGCAAAGTGTGGACTCTTCTCATGCAAAGAACACACCCTCAATGTTTGCACGGCCTGTAAATGAATGTCGCATATTGCACGTTATGGAGTTAAAATAAAAAACCTGAATAAAGTTTTGCTATTTATGATTAGGCTAAAGGTCAATGATGGCAGCCAAAAACAAAAAAAATATATATATATATTTATTTAGATCATATTTCTACTGCAGCAAAATAGAGGGGACCTTAGGGGTGTTAAATGAAGTTTTTCTTAGGGGTGCACAAGGGTTAAGGCAGATTACTCATAAAAAAAGGAAAGTTATGACAGCATAGTGTTTCTTAGGTCACATGACTAACATTGCATGTCCTGAAATGAGCCTATTTCACATTTGCATCACAACTGTGACTGTCAATTAATCATTCAGTTTGTCTAAGTTCCATGAACTAGAGTTTTAGAAAGACAGGTGAAAAAAGTGGGTTCAAAGAGAGGCAATACAATAGGCTGTAGAGACAGGAGGTGGAGGGTATCAGGCTAACAGTTTGTTCAGTTTCAGTTCTGCATGAATGTAGCACAAGTCATCACCCCAAGAGAGAGGGCGCCTTAATAGATTAATTCTAATTGTCACTCTTTTCCCTTCCCTTCGTCTTATCCATTTTTCTACCCCTTCACCTTGGCCCAATGTTTTGAGGGCTAAAGGGAAGGGGTGAAAACATGCCCCAAAGAAAAGAGATGACACTCAATTCCTGCCATGTCATCATGCCTTGCTGTTTGCAATGAATTTGTCACCCAATTCTGCCATCACTGTCACTTTCAATAGCTATAGCTTTGTTAGCTTGCTCATCATAATGCGTGATTTTAAAACACAAACAATTCAAAGCATAGCTTATAACAAAGGATTGAATATCTGATAAAAACATAAGGGTCATTACTATGAAAATCATATCAAAATCCTTCCCCTTGCTTTCAAGTGAGGTCACGGTTTGTCTTCGTTTCAAGGGTTGTGTACTCCTTGACCTTAGCTCTTTCATTTGACCTTATGAAGAATTGGGACACCGCTTCTCTTGACATGAACGTGTAAAACTGAGGGCTAAGGGGTAAGACAAGCGCGAAGGGTTGCAATTGGGATTGGCCCTAAATCCTAATCAGGTTGGGGAAAAGCCAGCAGTCATGGGTAACCTCTGGGAGAGTAAGGGATGAATGATTAATGTTTTTATGTATCAGTATTTTGGCAATATGAAAAGGTGACATGCTAAACCAAATTTCTCAAAAAAAAAAAAAAAAAAAACTTTCTAATTAAAACCCACTCTTATGGAGATGTCTTTTTTGTTGTTTTTGTTTTCAGTTTCAGTCTTGCTCTGGTATACATGCTGGTTTTCACATTGTGGGAGTGTAAATATGTGTATATTAGGGCTGTCAAATTGATGCCTTAACAAGGATTAATCTATCATCAAAATTAATCTGATTAAAAATCTGAATTGTTTGACAGCACTAGTATTTATACAGGAATGTAAATCACATCAGTATTATGAAGGTATTATTCACAGGATAATGTGTGACCTGCTGTGCAACCCTTGAACACACTCTGCTGACTTAAAAAAAAAAAAAGTGACAGGTGAAATCGGATTGAATTATTTACAAGGAGCTACATATGGAGAAAAGTAACAGGGTCTCTGACTGCAGGAGAAGATGAAACTGTTAGAGAAGAATATATGTTCATAAAAGTGGATTTCTTTGACACAGTCAGTCGTCTTGTCTTTGTAGCTGTCGACTTTAACCTCCTTTTTGGTTTTAGGTTTACAAGTTACACTGAGTTCACACACAACAAAAGGCATGCTAAAAAGAACAGGGATGGCAGATAGAAAAAAAAAAACATTTTTATATGACTTAACACAGATTTATTTTTGGTATCATGACACTCTCCCTCAACTTGCTCAAAGTCCCACTCTGATAGTCTCTGTGTGTCAATATCACCAGATCGATAGTTTATTTTACCAGTGTCTTAGAAATTCGTACTCGTGTAAAGACCACCTGAGACAATTTCTTTGGGTCTGGCCAGCATAGCAGGGCTCTGGGGGCAGAGCTTGGATTCGTGACGTAGGAAATGTCACTGTATCTGAACCTGCCGTTTGGGTCTGCTCAAGATTTGTATTCAGACATACTCATGTCATATGTAATTTTGCACTTATTTTTCCTCATGATATGATATCTATATGAACATGGAGACAACAAGAAAAACATGATTTTCATCAGAGTGGGTCTTGAAATTCTTTCTTTAACTCTGGTTTTTGTTATTTATCTTGGTGTCAGCCAGATAGACTGTCTGACAGCACGTGTAGCAAAGAATTCACTCTTTGGAGGAGACACTGTGTGGACACAACAGGGAGTTGTAGATTTAAAAGATTTATCTGCCAAATTAGAGAGCTTTAAAGTTGAGTAAAGCAACAAGCTACAACAGCACCTGTGGACTCCATGAGGGCTGCTGCTGTAGACACAATCAGCTCGTTAAGAAAACAGACAGTTGTAGACCGTTTTCTGTCCTCACACGTCTCTCTTGTGTTTGATCGAAACCTGGTGTATCACATGTACTACTGCATTTGCAGCTGTGCTAACAGACCACCAAGGCTACAGATCATAATGTTGCTTTTAAAAGCTACAAAAAAATGGGAGAAAATGTCTAAGCTATAGATCAAAACAGAGAGACTGTGGGGATTTCCAAATCAATGAAGCCCCTCTCTCTTTCTCTCTTAAGTTTGTTTGGTTTGTGAGTTATAAGGTGAAATATCATCCATGTTTTCTTTAAAGTCAGTTTACACTGCCCTGTATGGCTGAATCAATCTTGCATAAACGAAATGACTTCACTGTGATTTAGTGGTTGTGTTCGTTTCTGATTTTGTGACCCTCTTAACCATTCTCAATCTTGTTTTTGTGTGTGTATATATATATATATATATATTTAAAGTGTGGTGTGTTGTTCACCCATTCTAATCAGCCAATCACATGGCGGCAACTTAGTGCATTTAGGCATGTAGACATGGTCAAGACAATCTCCTGCAGTTCAAACCGAGCATCAGTATGGGGAAGAAAGGTGATTTGAGTGACTTTGAACGTGGCATGGTTGTTGGTGCCAGAAGGGCTGGTCTGAGTATTTCAGAAACTGCTGATCTACTGGGATTTTCACGCACAACCATCTCTAGGGTTTACAGAGAATGGTCCGAAAAAGAAAAAATATCCAGTGAGCGGCAGTTCTGTGGGCGGAAATGCCTTGTTGATGCCAGAGGTCAGAGGAGAATGGCCAGACTGGTTCGAGCTGATAGAAAGGCAACAGTGACTCAAATAACCACCCGTTACAACCAAGGTAGGCAGAAGAGCATCTCTGAACGCACAGTACGTCGAACTTTGAGGCAGATGAGCTACAGCAGCAGAAGACCACACCGGGTGCCACTCCTTTCAGCTAAGAACAGGAAACTGAGGCTACAATTTGCACAAGCTCATCGAAATTGGACAATAGAAGATTGGAAAAACGTTGCCTGGTCTGATGAGTCTCGATTTCTGCTGCGACATTCGGATGGTAGGGTCAGAATTTGGCGTCAACAACATGAAAGCATGGATCCATCCTGCCTTGTATCAACGGTTCAGGCTGGTGGTGGTGGTGTCATGGTGTGGGGAATATTTTCTTGGCAGTTTGGGCCCCTTGGTACCAATTGAGCATCGTTGCAAATCATTGTATTCTGATTTCATGTCAGGAAAGTTTTAAAACTTCTGATGGCTACTTTCAGCAGGATAATGCGCCATGTCATAAAGCTGGAATCATCTCAGACTGGTTTCTTGAACATGACAATGAGTTCACTGTACTCAAATGGCCTCCACAGTCACCAGATCTCAATCCAATAGAGCATCTTTGGGATGTGGTGGAACGGGAGATTCGCATCATGGATGTGCAGCCGACAAATCTGCGGCAACTGTGTGATGCCATCATGTCAATATGGACCAAGCTCTCTGAGGAATGCTTCCAGCACCTTGTTGAATCTATGCCACGAAGAATTGAGGCAGTTCTGAAGGCAAAAGGGGGTCCAACCCGTTACTAGCATGGTGTACCTAATAAAGTGGCCGGTGAGTGTATATATATATATTTAAAGTGTGGTGTGTTGTTCACCCATTCCTGACAGATGCCCTGAGATTTCCTGTTCTACCTCTTCCTTTCTGCTGACTCCACCGCCCTATAAGCTGTAATATCCATCCATTCTGCTCATGTCCACATGGTGCTATTTCGAAAAGGGCAACTACTCTCTTTTTCTTTCTCAGACAGCACTGCAGAGGCAGCCTGCTGCCAACGCACAGGCTTCAGCTAGCTGGTGCTAACTCATATCCATTTTTTTTATTTCTAGGGGAGAAAAAACAGGTATTATAATATAGATATCCTGTTATTTTTCAACCAGAGCAACATTTGTGGGTTGGAATGACAAGTTTAGACATTTAGACGTAAAACATTAATAAGTAACTATGATTAATGTATGACATTTAACCATTTGGACCATATGAGAATGTAAAATGTGTATTTAAAAATCCTATCAGTTTAACAGCAGTAGTTTTACGTGAGGGTTTTGGACCTCGCTGCTTACCTGCAGAGATCTTTTGATGATATTATGAACTAAAGATGATCAAATCCCTCAAATCCTGCATACATAGAGTTTATCAGTTTGAAGATTGAATATCTTGTCTTCATAGAATATTTAATTGAGTATGGATAGAAAAGGATTTGCAAATCATTGTATTCTGATTTCATGTCAGGAAAGTTTTAAATTTTATCTACTGTTTGTGTCTACCAGTTTAACAGAGATGTTTTTTTTCAGATTAATAAAGAAAAAAAAAGTTTGTTTGCTTGTTGTTCATGTGATATGACGTAAATATGTGGACTATAAAATGCACTGGTAGCCACCTTGAATTAATTAATCTGATCTAAAAATATTGCTGTATAAAACTTTTCTTTCCCAGCATGTTTATTGCTAAGGACCTGTTGACACCTTTCACATCACTTTCCAGAATCCTCTGCTGTCCACGTTCCCTGAACACTTGTTTCTGCATCTC